GGTCCTTTGAGTCGCACGCTTCGCGCGCAACTCAAAAGGACCAGCTTCACACCACAACCCACCAGAGTCACTCCAAGAAAACACCAAGCAGAAGAACCCGAAAAGAAGGCGCCAGTTGGCTATCTTCGATAGAGTGAATGAGTGAGTGAGTGAAAGAGTGAGTGAAAGAGTGAGTGAGTGAGTGAAAGGGATGATGAATGTGAGACGCGGTGTAAGCATTGATTTCTTCAGTTCAGTTCAGTTCAGTTCAGTTCAGTTCAGTTCAGTTCAGTTCAGTTCAGTTCAGTTCAGTTCAGTTCAGTTCAGTTCAGTTCAGTTCAGTTCAGTTCAGTTCAGTTCAGTTCAGTTCAGTTAGATACTCATGTGATATCATTCATGGGCATGTCCTTGTGCAAGTGTGACACGGCAGACGAGTGCAGCGTGTAAAAGTCAGTGTCGGGTTGTGCGTGACGGAATTCTGTAAGTGTAAAGGGTAGGGTCTGCAACTGGTGGGAGAAGCAGACATAACGTGCCGTAAAGGCTAGAACAGAAGAAACAGAAGTTGACTGAGTCGAATATACGGTCGATTGAGTCGGCCGAAAAGGAACATGAATTTATGTCGTCAACTGCGACATGGTGCGACACGGAGCTACAGGCAAATGTATACTAAATAAATAGCTCAATTGTTGACACCCGAACACCGAACACCAAACCCCACCGTACATCTCAGTTTTCATGTGCACACACGCAAAGTAGTAAGCAAAGCTGCCCGGGGAAAAGAGGACGGGCCACTTTGCAGATTTTATCTGACTAAGCAATGACTGTGGGTACGCGGTATTTCTGGAAGTTCGTAAAATGACTACGCCCGTCAAGCCACCATTTCTGAGATTGTGAAAGTTTTGAAACTGCGTCACTCAGTTTTGAAACTGCGTCACTCAGTTTTAAAACTGCACAGTTTTAAAATTGTGTGTCACAATTCTTTCACACAACAAACAACGCCTGGGAGTTGCGGGGAGTTGCGGGGAGTTTGCATCTGATGTGTGTGACGCGTTGTAACTAGTTATTTATTCCGAATCAAACCGCGCATGCCAAACGAAACAACACCGAACAGAGCGGAGGTTTCCAAACAAAACCAAACGATTCGTTTGGTTTTATTCCAAAACAACACGAGACGTGTGGTTTCTAACCCAACCTTCACAGAAGAGTCACAGAGAAAAATTGTGGATGTCTATAGAGGTGCACTTCAAAGTGCTTACGTGGACCTTTTGGCTAAGGTCTAGTTCTGTACCCAACCGAAGGAGCTTCTACAGTCCCAATACCTTGGGCCTGTTCTATGGGCCGTTTCACTCTTCCCCTCTATGATCAAAGCTTGTCGTATGATCATAGTAGTATCATATCATTCCGTATCAAAGTGTAGTCACAAAGGCGCCCTTACATCCACAGTTCATACGAGAGGTGGTTCTTGACGCAACAGGCGATTCAAACTCATCGCTTGCTAGACTTGACGAAACGGCACAAGACGCAGTATATTCAGTCTCTCAAAGACTTGAGGACTCCTGCGAACTTCAACAGTTCCGTTAGTAAACACACGAGTAATTTGATACGGACCTTCCATCTTTGGATCCAATTTACTTGGATTGAAATTCTTGATCAAAACTTCGCCACCAACGTTGTAATCAAACTCCTTTCGTTTAGCATTCTGTTGCCGTAGATTTGCGTTGACCATCAATTGTCTCTTTTCTTGTATACTCAAAAGATCGACAATGACAGGAATGTTGAGCAACATATCACGAGCAAACACTACTTCACCTGGAGTGTTGTTTTTCAAAGACTGAGAAACAGCACATCTCATAGCATGATTGCATGCTGCGAGAGCATCATCGACGGCTTGATTAGCTGTCTGAATGTTTGGGGCCATGTTAGTGTTGTTGAATCTTGCTTGTAGAATGTTGCCAACAGTTTGATGCATCCGTTCACAGATAGCATTGGCAGTTGGATTCTTGCTTGTCGCCGATGCATCGTGAATTCCCCACTGCTGTAGTTTCAACTGAAAATCGTGACCAATGAATTCGCCGCCTTGATCGTGAATGCACTTGTAGGGTTTTGGATATCGAGAAAGCCAAAGATTCTCAAAGACATTTGTGACGTTTTGTTCTCAATGCGTGAAAGTTCAGTGAGATTTGTCACGGGATCAATACAAGTGAGCGCATTGAATTCAATGTCTATACCGTTGACCTTGATTTTCCAAGGTCCAATCAAATCCACAGCCACAGAAAACCACGGAACCAAGTCTGCGTGTCTTTCAGGCAGATGTCCGTATTGAATGTTCACATTTTTATTCACTTGGCAAACTTCACATCTGAGGGATTCAACTTTTCTTTTCAAAGCGGGAGCATAGAACCACCGGACGATTGTATTGTACAAAGAGGTAGTACCTCGATGTCCAAGTACCAAATGATACCATACAATCACTGGAGCAACCAAAGTTTCAGGCAAGTGAATTCTCCATTCGTTAGGTTTATTCAAATCTGCACGGTAGCAGATCACATTCCGATTGTCAATTTGCATGATGGGATATTGAGCCCAAGTTGCTGCGTTTTGCGATTTTTGAATGAGGGCAACATCTTGGAGCTGATGTTGTTGAATGTTTGCCATCGTGATTGGATTTGGCATAACTTCCAATGGAGGATGATTGAGAAACGATTCAAGCATCTCATCATTTTCGATAGCGCCATGTCCATGATTACCATCTCGACAACAAGCAAACATGCATCTGAAGGTACGATTGAATTCCGCTTCAGATGGAGGAGAAAGAAGAACTTCTTCTTCAAAAGAATACATTTCATCCTCGGGATCCATTTTGACATTGAGTTTGTCAAATGCGATCAATTTACCTTTAGAAAGCGAACTCTTCCCCTCAGACGGTTTCAATCCCCCAAAAACCTTACTATTGCGATTCTCCAGAGAATCACAGAATTCGGCATAGCTAATTGTAGCTGGCCAAACGAAACCAACTGGACATTCTGACATAAATGGAAAAATTAAAATTTTCCACGAATCGCCATTCAGCGGTTTCTGACCCAAGGCCAAACCATCAGACATGATCACAGGAAACAACGCTTCTGCAAAGGCCCGACGTCCTTTGTCCAGGGATACACCTAAGGTGGTACCACACAGGGAACCCAACATCAAGTGATTCGGTTCATCAACTGGCCGAGGACACTGCAAATGGTTCGTCACCGTGGCCTCAAAGATATCAGCCAACAATGGTGCACCGAAACCACTGTCTGCGCTCGTATTCGGTTTTGTCATTACCGGAGCAGAGATGAAGCATAGGTGACATAGTTCTCCGTCCGCCCCTTTCCGAACAACTAGCGCAAATCCTGGTGGTTTGGTTTCACCAAGCATCAGACGCTGATGGCAAGTCAAACTTGGGTCATTCCATCTCTTGAATTCCGTATCTAACTCTGCATATCGCTCTCTTGCTGGCCGGAAATCCTCAGGGCATGTTACTCTGTAGAGGGGCTTGCCTTTGGAGAGCCGCTCGACAGGAAATCCATAAGAACTTTGGAGGTTCTTGAGAGTTGGACACTTGTTGTCAAGAGCGAGATGATAGTTGAGTTTCCCTTCGTAGGGGAGATTCGTAATCGAATCGCGGAGTTTCAAAAATTCACCTACGGCAAATTTCTTAGAGAGGAAAGATTGACTTGGCATTCTTGTTGCTGTTGTTGTTGTCGAAAAGGCTGGAGGACTGGAAAACTTGTGAAATTGTTGGCTAAGCTCAAACAATCCACCGTAAAAGATGCCTAAGACAACTAATACTCTTGCGATTAAATGTAATAACAATAAACTGAATATAAAGAAAGAAATAACTCTATCTTTCTGTCAGTATACTTGCACACAAGTTCGATATGTGTAGATTGGACTTAGGTTGCTGGTGCAATACTGAGATGACGGTCGCCCTACCGTCGTTCATGGAGTCACTATTGAGTCCATTGGTTCGACCGCTTTCTTCCGTCTACGTTAGATAAACGCGAGAAACAGTCGGCCAAAACATTATCTTTACCAGGCAAATAGTTAAACGTAGGTGAGAATTCTTCCATGTACATTCGCCAGCGTAAAACTCGTTGTGTATTCAATGTGCGGAAGGTGAGATTTTTGTGATCTGTAAAAATAGTTATCATGCTTTCATCATCAAGCTCAAAAGAATAATACATCATTGTGGTTTGAGTTTGGTAAAGAATTTGTAGCCAGCACGACGAGAGACAACTTCATCAATCAATGGCAAAGGATACACTTTACGTTTGAAAACCTTGTTGAGCTCGAGAAAATCACTGATCCATCGTACTCTTCCATCCTTTTTTGGAATAATGAATGTAGGAGAGGCCCATTCAGTTGGACCACATTGCTTGAGTACGTTGATCGATTCCAAATGCCGAAGTTCCTTGAGAAAAGCGTGTTGGTGTTTCACAGGCACGGAATAGGCTTTAGAATGAATTGGTACAGCACCGTCTTCAACTTCCAAATGGATCTTGTCGTGTTTGTAGTGTCCAAGGTTGCCATCGAAAAGCTTTTGTGTATGTTCCAATGCAGTTGCCAATTGATCTTGTTGTTGTTTTGTCAAGTGGACGCGACCAAGGATAATATCATGTGGACAATTTGGTGCATCAAAAACTGTCACTGTTTTTTCGTATTCAACGATGTCCATCAAACTCTGGAAAGAGCCCGTCTCGAAGTTCAATGGATTTGTTAGCATTGAAGTTTCCAGATACAGTTGCACAAGGTTTAACATGAGGATCAATTTTTACCGTCGCGCCTTGTGGAATGCATTGTGCATGAATCATTGTGTTTTCACCACCTGAATCAAACAATACTCGGAGAGGTTTTGCAGACTGTTTTCCTCCAATCAATCCCCATTGCATCAAAGAAATAGGAGTTAGTTTCTTTTTGTTCATCGATTCACCCGTAGATTCCAAAGTTTGTTTTGGAGTTGGGACACAAATGAAAGAGTCATTCAAAAGAAAGTGTTTTTCTTCTTGCGTCATCGGACCTTGATCAGGGGTCGATGCGGTAGCAAAAGATGAAAGATTTGGTTCAAGGAAAGGATTGATTAGACGGTTAGATTGTGAACGAGTATTGTTTTGGAGTGAAGGTCAATGAGCTTCATTGTAGCAATGGTAATGTTCAGAGGCATCATCGTATGGATAATAGCCTTGATCATCCGTTGGAGGATACAAGTCATCTGGAGGATACGAGTCTTCAGGAGGATACGCGTCTTCAGGAGGAGGATACATTTCTTGTTGTTCACGAGGTTGGACGAATTGGCCTTGTACAAAATATTGATCATGCTGCTCTTCGGCAGAAGGCATTCCGCCTTGGCCCACTTTGGGGACAGTTCCAACCGGAACGAAGCATTCCGCTTCCTGATTGTTGTAATACGTTCCAGCAGGAACTGAGCCTTTGGCTTGACTTCCGTCTTGATTGTAATGCGATTCAGCATAATGATGGTTTTGAGGGTTTCGGTTTTGAAAATTCCCTGGAGATCGGTTGTTTGGAGGTCAATTTGCTTGATGGTTTCGTTGCCCAAAGCGTCCTTGGGTTTGAGAACTGGCTCCAGAAGATCGTCCTTGATAGTTGCCTTGAGATCTTGGAGGATAGCGATATCCTTGATTCTGAGTTCCTTGATTTTGATAGCTTGGATAGGGTGGATTGGAAGTGGTTCGACGATTACCGTAACTTCCGCGTCCACGTCCACGTCCTTGACGAGAATGCTATGTGTAACCACCAGTGCGTTAAGGCTTTTCACGAGCATGCTGCTTTGAGATTTGGACATTGTCGGACAAGATCTTGGTAGCTTGCATATAAGTTTCGACCATTTGTAAGGTGATGTTGGGATCTTCAATCGTTCCTTTTTGTTGACGGAAAGTATCCTGCCACTTTGCCGGAAACGAGTGGAAAATTATTTCTTTCTTGGTCAAGACAGAAATATCATCATTTTCACATAGCTTCTGAGATGTTCCGGGAAGCATGTCATGATAGAAGCACAATAGTTCAAGTCGCCTAATGTGTCTGGACACATCAGTTTTCATAGACTTCCTGCAGGCAATCGACTTCAGAAAACGGCTTGCGCTGTTCCTTGGATTTGCGCCAGCTGACATCTTCGTGATAAAATCGTCAACAGAATTCTTGAATTGCGCGGCAGTGCGATGGGTCACGCTGGTTTCAATCACATTCCATTCGTTCAAGGCTTGACCGCCCAGATGTAGTCGAAAGAGCGAGAACTTGAGGTTGGCAATACCAGCTCCGTTACCAGTGATCTCCCATTGAGAGCAGAGATTCTTGAATGAGATGTACATCCTGCAAAAAGGTTCCAAATTGCTGTTTTTTCCAAGGTAAAGGGGAACCTTGGCTTTGCGTTCGCCACCATCTGCGCCAGGAAGATGGAATACAATCTCAGTGAGAACGTCCCTATCGTTTTCAACGTAGGTAAATGGTGAGTCAGTTGCAAGAGAAGTCATAGTGATGTATTTTCACTTCAAACGCTTCAATCAAGATGCAACAAAGTCAAATACATAGCAAATGCAATAGCAATAGTTTGCTGCCACTCTGCAGAGTGTATCTCTTCAGTAAAAGCCTTTGGCTATTCGAATAGTAACCCAACCTTCACAGAAGAGTCACAGAGAAAAATTGTGGATGTCTATAGAGGTGCACTTCAAAGTGCTTATGTGGACCTTTTGACTAAGGTCTAGTTCTGTACCCAACCGAAGGAGCTTCTACAGTCCCAATACCTTGGGCCTGTTCTATGGGCCGTTTCAGTTTCGTATCGTTTGGTTTCGTTTGGAAACCTCCGCTCTGTTCGGTGTTGTTTCGTTTGGCATGCGCGGTTGGAATAAATAACTAGTTACGATGCGTCACACGCATCAGATGCAAACTCCCCGCAACTCCCTGTGGGTGATTTAGTGCAAAAAAAGGTGCGTATTGTACAGGAACGGCCGGGAACTGTGGTCCGATTAGTCATTTCACACGCAATAGCAACTTTACAAAGGGAATCTTGCAGGCGGAATCTTGAAAAATCAATGCAGCGACCAGCTCATCCGCGTCCACAAACAGTCAGTCAAAATAGCACGGCTCGGCTGTGCGGAGGGTGGGAGAGGACAAAGGAAAAAAGCATGCCCGTC